TGTGACTTCTTGAAAGGAGGCAGCTGCCCCGTAGATTTTTCAAGAGGACCAGCTGGGCTAGTTGGAGGACTTTCCCCCAAATTGGGGGCTCCCGAGTTCCCTCCCGCTTCGGCAGGGGTCTCTGACTCTGCTGGCATTTCTGCTCTCACTGCCATGTGCCTCCTTTGTGCTGATTCTGCTGCTTGAGCAGCTTCTACTATTTCAGGGGCTTTCCTGCTCCCCACTCCCAGCCTGTCCCTGTGGCTGTTCTTTGGCCTTAGGTCCCCACTAAATACCCAAGACACCACTTTATAAGCAGGGAAGGCAGGAGACCTGAGAAGGGGCAACATGGGCTTCCCCCTTTTGGGGTCCCTGGGAACCTCCTTGGCTTTGCCCAGTATCGGCGCTGGTTCTCTGACTGGGAATCAGCCAGGATCATGACCTCCCAGGACGCCGTGCCCTGTCTTCACCTGGCACAACCCCCCTCCCCCGCCTTATGGGACATTCACCCCCACCCAGGGCAAGGCATGACCCAAGGGCCCTGGTTAGGGCTCGGCAGTGGCTCCTGGAAACGCCCCCAGTGCCTGGCCTGCCGTGCGTGACTTGGCCGCCAGGTGATGACCTACAATGGGCTCGAGCCACCGATGGCGGAACACGGCCCCGAGCGGCGGCCTGGCCTGGCCTGGCGCTCCACGGCCCCTTACCTCGCAGGTTGCGGATGAAGTCCTCCAGCATCATCTTGCGGTCAGGCTTGATGTTGGGGCTGTACATGTCGGTGTTGAGGAGGATGATGGCAAAGGCGAGGATGAAGATGGTGTCAGGGTTGTGGAACTGCTGCACCACCTCGGGGTTGCACATGCAGTAGCGCTGGCTGTGGGGGACAGAGTGGGAAGCTGAGGACCACCAACCCCCAGACCTCTGGCCATGGGGGACCCTCAGGGTAGGCATCCCTGTTCTCTGAGGGGTTTTGGCCCCAGTAAACCTCACCCTGCTGGTCACTTCCTGTCCTTGTCCTATGGCCTGAGGAACAACAGCACCTCCCATGGGTCCCCCCTTAGAATGAGTGGGGGGCAGTGAGGCACAATCTACCTGGGGGGCCCAGGGATGCTCCAGCCTAGAGGGCTTCAAGGAACCTGCCCCCCCCCTCACCCCACTGTGGGTCCCACAGGATCCAACTGTGCAGGCTCTCCAGCTTCTCCTCAGGCCTCCAGCCAGCAGCTCCTCTCCAGCAGCTTGTCCACAGCCCAAGTTCCCCTCCCCCACTGGGGGGGGAGGGCAGAAGTGGAAGGTTGGGGGAGGGGTGCTACCTGAAGGCCTCTATGAGCCGCTCCACCTTCTGGGCTTCCCCCTGCACACGGATGTGAGCCTGGAACTTCCTCAGGGCCTCGTCCAGCTCCATGCTGGAGAAGTCCATCTCGTCCACCACGCAGCTGAGGGCAGGAGGAAAGGGCTGTGAGGGGTGGTCAGCCCCTCTAAACTCCAGCGCTGAGCTGAGGGGTAAGGTGCACTTACATAGTGCTGGTGGGAGGGACCCTTGGGGGAGGGGAGGGACCTGGTCCCCAAGGCAAGGTGGGGGAGGGGAGGGGCCTGGCCCCCATGGCCAACCAGGAAAGGTCTTACTCAGCCCCAGAGGTCCCCCTTTATTCTGAAGGTGCTTCTCATCCCTAGAGCCTCGTGAGGCCGGCTTATCTCCAGTTCACAGTTAAGGAGCAGAGGCCCAGAGAGGCCCCTGGTTGGCCAAGGCCACAGAGCAAGAGGGAAGATGAAAGCAACTTCCCTTCCAAATCCCAAGTCCTTTCCTTTCAAGCGCAGAGCGCCTCAGAGTCAAACAAAGGTTTGAAATATGAATAAATACCCCTTAAGTTCTGTTCTTTCAATGCCCCTTGTTCCCCTTGCCAGTCTCATTTGGTGACGGAAACTTTCACCTCCTGAGTCTGCAAAACAGAGGAAGCGGGGAGCCCATCCTAAACTCCCAGCAGCTCGGGGAGACAGGGAGGCAAAGCTGTAGGCTGGGAGAGTGAATGACAGGGCAGCTACATGGGGTCTGGTGGGGGGGGCGGATGGGGCAGGGGGAGACACAACTGGGGGTGGGGGTGGGTGCTCTGAGTTCTCCTAACTGGGTCACACACCTGGAGCTTCAGTCTCTTCTTTTGAGAGGGGCAGTGAAGGACCTGCGCCCCAAGTGCACTCTAGCTCGGAGTGCCACCTCCAATGCCAGAGTTTACCTCTGAGGGTCTCAGCGTACGGGGGGTGCCAGTCACCTCACAGAGGGTCTCCTTCCTCTGACTCCGCTTACTCCGAGGGCATCTCCCCCCCAGGCCCCACCTCCTGCTTTAACCTCCGTGGGGTGCCCTTCCCCAGGGCTGTGAGCACTGAGAAAGGAATCTAGGCCTGGCAGAGCCTTGATCTTAGGTCCCCTGAGAATTCCAAAGCCTGATCCCGAAGCCGGATCACCCGTTCTCATGTGCCAGCGGGCTCTCGGCTGATTTTCCCCGTCTCCACCCTCCGGTCATCTTATACCCAGCACCCCACTGCCCATTGTGGGGGTCTCTGGGGGACTCAGCTAGTGTCACGACTCTGGGCAGCGGCCCCTGCTCCCCGTCCGCCTCTCCCTCCCCTGGGAAGGAACCCCACAAGCCCCCCCCCATGTGGCTCAGGGCCCAGGGGCTTAGGGAACCTGTGAGCCACGGACGAACCCCCGGAGCAGGAGCGGCTTCCTCCACGGTTCCGGTTCTTGTGCTGGGTCTAGAAGGAGCCAGCTAGCGCCACGCTCAGCCCTGGCTCTGCGATCCATTTTTAAGGAAAGCAAGGAGGTGCCCACATAGGCTGTACGCTCTCTCCCACTCCTTTCCGCCAGGGCCCAGGGCCAGAGTGTCTGCGAGCACCCCTAGCGGGGGCTGGCGAGGCTTCCCTTCCCCCATTGGCAGGGCAGCCAGCTGGCACCCCCTTGGCTCACAGCCTTCTCCCAGGCTTGGTCCCCTGGGCGTGAGTGAGGGGTGGTGGCTGGGAGGTGCAGGCATGAACGTGCCCCTGTCTGGGAACAGCAGGGACCAGGCGTCTGGGATGGCCCAGTGAGCAGTGGAGGCCTCCGGGTGCAGCCGGCTGCTGGCCACTCTGATCTCCTGGCAGCTCTGGTCACCTGTGCCTGAGCCATCCAGCGGGCACATGAACCCGGAGGGCAGCATGTATAGCCTGGAGCCCGGCCGGAGGCACGAATCAAGCATGACGGAGCCACCGAGATGCCAAGGCAGGACCTTGGGAGCCGCATAAGGAGGGCACAAGAGCCACGCTCAGGAGACAGCTGAGGAGCAGGACAGGGAGCCAGTGAGAGACAGAAGGGGAGAGCCAGAGCAGTGAAGGAGAGCAAGGAGGTGAGTCCATGAGAAAAGCAGAGACAGGGGAGGCAGCGGAAAGAGGGTGAAGGGGATGAGACTCACTGACCGCCATGCTGTGCCCTCCCACCCAGGGACACCCCCACTCTGGCAAGGCCCAGCAGCCTGGCTCCCTGGAGGCCCCGAATAACCCTGGGCCCCTGGACTGGGGACAGCTGCTGCCTGGCACTTGACACCCACCTGCCTCCTGCCCTGGCCCTGCGCTCTCGGGGGCCTGGACCACGAGGTGCTAGCACCCTGCACCCCTCACCAGGGTCCCACCGGAGCCTCAGGGTCCCCCCGGGGCGACGGGGTAGGTGCAGTCAGTGGGGAGAGAGGGATCCGCTCCGCCAGCACCATGGCCTAGTTTCCAGCCTGCACTCAGGTGGCGGCAGCCTGCTCGCTCGCTACCTGGCATGGGCCATGGCGCCAGCGGTGAGCAGGGAGCTGGAAGTCAAGGGCCAGGCCCGGGTGCAGCCGCTGGAAGCACCAGCCCAGCACAGGGAGCTCTGTGGGGATGGGGAGCACTTGAGGGAGGACGCTGGGCCGGGGCGTCTCCACCTCCAGCACCTTCCAGGGAGTCCCCAGGACACCATGAAGAGCTGTGAGGTGGCTGGTTAAAAATGTAGATCCCTGAACCCCTCCCCGTCTATGGGACACAGTGTCGGGGGGTCAGCTTGGGGATAGGCTTTCTCCACACGCCCCCAGCTGATCCTGAAACACTGAAGAGAAAGTGGAGCTGAGGGCAAGAGTGGCCAGGGGCCGGCCCAGCGTGGGCTCTCACATCCTGAGTCTAGCAGCTCGCAGGCACCAGGGCAGCAGCTTATGGGGGCAGTGTCTTGGCCTGGGGGTGCAGGTGCAGGAAGGGGGGACATGTGTCCTGGCCGGGGGGTGCAGGTGGAGAGGCAGAGGCCCCGTCCCCCTTCCCATTTTCCTCTCTACAACTCCACAAGAGCCACCAGTGTTCCTCACATCCCAGTGAGAGAATCTCAGCCCCTCTGTGTGAACTCCTTCCCGCCACATGGAAGGGAAAGCTGTGGGGGCTGACGGAAAGGCACCATTAACCCCCCTCAACTTCCACACCCGCAAGACAAGTCAAAATCACTTCCTCTCTGTCAAGTTGGGGGTTGGGTCAGGCGGGCCCCAACCCCCATCATGTGTCTTTCTGGGGGGACCTGCGCCCCCTGGGGCAGGTGGGTCCCCATGACTGAACCAATGTCCACCATCTTGCCTGTCCCCCAGCACGTTTTTTTTTTAAAGATTTATTTACACATATAGAAGTGGGGTACAGGCCAGAGGTGCAGGGGTGGAGAGAGGATTCACCAGAGACAGAGTGGGGAGCAGAACAGGCCGACTGACGAAGTTCACTGCCCCAGCACGCTTCTTTCCGAGCCCTGAGCTTACGTTTGTCCCTCGACCTCCTTTCTCTCTCCTCTCTTTCCCCTTGTCCCTTCCTCTTGCTTCTCTTATTTTGCAGGATCCGTCCCCCCACTCTGAAGACGTCCCCACCCTGGTTTGCCACCCGAGTCCTTGGGAGCAGACGGTGCTGCTTCCCGAATGCATCCTGCTCTCATCCACAGGACGACGATCTCTCCTTTTCCATGGTCCGTAAGCTGACAAACGTCCCCATCACTCTCTTCTGTTTACTTTTGCAGGGCTTCCGACACGGGCTGAGTTCCCCCACAAAGCTGCAGGGTCCTGCCAGGCTCCCAGTCCCTCTTGCCCTGCGCCCAGCGCAGGCGCCAGCCCTGCCCTCAAGCCTCTACCTGCTGCAGGCGCTGGTTCTTCCCGCTGCCCAAGCCCAGCCCTGCGCATCTGGTTAGCAAGCAACCTCCCTAGCGGTCATCCTCGCCCTCCACTGGACCCTGTGGTGGCCTCCTGTGTACCTGCACGTACCACCTGGCTTCAGGGTACCACCTGCCTGTCCTCCACTAGCTCCCGAGTTTCCTCAGGACTGTGGCAGCTCCTTTTGTCTCTGCCTCCCTGGCTTGTCTATGATATCAAAGAACTTCTGCAGGATGAGCGAGGGAGGGAGTGCGTGGCCAGTTGAGTGAATGAACAGGAACTGTGGTCTGCTGGGCCAGCTGCCCGTTGGCCTGCATCCTTCGAAGCTCTGCCCAGTGGTCCAGGACAGCTGGCCCTGCTTTTTGAACTGACCCAGAGATGTGGACACAGCTGCCAGAGAAGTGGGTCCCCAGATTGCAGCTGGTGGACAGCCAGGCCGCCCACCTCCAGCAGCACGGCCACGTGAGAGACAGGACAGTGGCCAAATGGCATTGCGTAGGCTGCTCACAGCTGGTCGTGCCTGGACCTGCCTCTGGAGGTGCAGTGATTGGCTGGAGAGTCCGAAGGGTGCAGCTTTTCCTCAGTCCCCCCCATTCCCTGTGTTTTCTGCAGGAGCTGCAAGTCCCTCACATGGGCTGGGACATAGAACCACAGATGTTCCCTGCATCTGGGTAAACAGGTACAATCTTGCATAAAATTGCTTGTTAACACTGATCTGTGTGTGGAATCAGTTTGCGTTGAGGGAAATGAAGCGTCGTACGCGACTGTGATCAAAATGAATTTCATCATCACAACTTTTTTTTAATGAGAGCAAGACAGTGTCTGGCAGACAAAGGAACCGGTTGGGAGCTGAAAATAGGTGCTGTTAGCAGCAGGGATTTTAGCTGGCCCGAATGGAAGCGAAGGTCTGGGAGGGGCAGAGCTGGCTGAGGTCAGGGGACAGGGACAAGTAAGTTCAACTGAGTCCAGGCTTCAGGATCAGGACGGGAGCTGAGACCACCCACTGCCACGGGGAGTTGGCACCCTGCTTTCTCTCTTCAGTTCCTGCCTCATACAATTCAATTAAAAATATCCCCATCCGCCAGAGTTATTTTTGCTAGCTGGAACTCGTACCATGTCCAGCAAAGGTCAAGGCTCTTTGGAGAAGAGCCGTGTGACTATGAAAATAGAGCAGGTGGAGGCTGACGCAGGAGGCCCAGTGTTGCTGGTGACGACACAGGGACAAAGAAACTGTCCTTTGAGGTGGCGTCAGGAGAGATGACCACCAGCCAGTC